CTTCGAGTCTTCGACATAATCATTCTTGATCGTTGAGTTTCAGCAATGTAAATGAAAGGAATTTTACAGTCCGTAACGGGTTTTAATCCTGTGCTTTCACAGTCAAGATAGCACTATTGTGTACACACAGTTAGCGATGTTTGGGAAATCTTCCATTATAAAATAAATCCTTTGGCTTTGTTGAATATCGGACAGGATACACTTCAACCATAAACAACCATATCGTTCATTTAGTATCGTTTGATCAATCAGTCGGTATAGAATTGGGAAGACATATATGTTTCTACGGCGATGCGTGCTCAAATTCGCAAGCCAGGCGCGTGTGGAGTCGTTGGAAGAGAAATATGATCCAGCTTCTTGCTTGAAATGTACCGCAACACTTATAATTGATGACATTTAGTATAGCAGGAAGTTGTGTCATGATCAATACGAATTTAAAACTGTTCCTTTCACGATTTCTTGTTGCAAATGAGATTTTTATCACACGAAACTGTAACACATAAAATCACAATTTTCCCAACGCAACAAACAGACTCCTCTACCACCCCTCCCTGAGATCAATTCAATTTACCACGCAGAATCTGCGGGGTCACGTGACCAGCCCCGACCAGGGTCTTTGCTTCACAAGAGCAAAGAGCCTGGGAACGAGGTTGAGCTGTTGGTTGAACCATCGGCAGAATTGAAGTCGCCTCGGGATAATCATTGTCTTTTAACTCGTGTCGAACGTTTATTTGACCAGTAACGATGCCATCTTAAGTCCAGACGCGTGATTTGGTTAAATGTTGCCGACGGAAAACCGAGTCCGTTTCTTCTTGAACTCACATGTGGGGTCTCTGTAAAGAACGGAAACCGAAACGACCGAATCCGGAAACGATCGAAACCGGAAACGACCGAAACTGGAAATTCCCGCCTAATTTCCTGCATAAAATTGCCTAAAATTTAGCCTGCTCTGAACCATGCGTTTTATTCATTCATCCCTTATAATAAACAAAGACTGTCAACTATCAAATTGACGCAGGGCGTGAAATGTACAACGACGAAATGTATAAAACAAGTGTGTAAACTCCAAAGATCGATAACATTTTTATATTTATCAACGTTTCGACTATATTTCAATCATCAGGATAAAGAAATGTATATAACAATAATACGAAGCATTAGCAAGCCGCACAATATATTAAATATAGGCTGCAGATAATACATTACGAGTTAATCAATACACATACAAATTAAAAGGCGAATAAAATACTACCATTGAATGCAATAATACTTGTACTACTTGTGATTGAAAGAACAATGTTCTGGATATTTGAAGCTATTAAAATGCAGTCAGATAAATTGGGATTTGGAATACGTCTAAACGAGCATGTATATTTAATTTTTTCAAAATCAAGAGCGTGCCATTTTAGTGGAAGCCGTGTCGTATGTCAAATGAGAAAGTGAATGCAATATCATTTTTATTAAATTAAACAAAACCGGCATGAACCGGCATTGTTCAGAAATTAAGTTAATAATATGCAGTAAGTTTAAATAATTGACAAAATTGTCAGCAGTTAAATAGTATACAACCTTACTTTCGGACGATATTTATCTAAATGTTATGCCAGCGATCGAGCATCAACAATAAAATTATTCGTTATGCGGGAAATTTAGGCGGGAATTTCCGGTTTCGGTCGTTTCCGGTTTCGGTCGTTTCCGGATTCGGTCGTTTCGGTTTCCGTTCTTTACAGAGACCCTGACATGTGTGTTGTTTTCAAGCTGTTGAGCGACTGCTTCAATATTTTCTTCGGTCTTCCAGTTTTTATTCTTCCCGAATTTCCTTTGTTTCGATTAAGACTCGTGCCGTGCTGCCGGTATTTACGTACGTTACGCCAAACGGTCGTCGAATTTGGGACGTGTCGATCCGGGAAAGCTATTCGAAAGAATCTTAAAACTTCCTAAATACTTTTTGTTACAAAGTAATTTTCAACAATAAAGGTTCTTTCTGCCGTAGTGAGCCGTCGCACGATGCCTAAGACTTTAAAATTATTTAGCGGAAACATTCCAAACAAATTATTCGCATGCAACGATAACGTACCTTTGGGAATTAAGAATGTCGAATACGAAGCATCTAAAAATGACTGCTTGCAGTAAATCACTTATTTTGAAGTTATAAATGGCCTAAAATTCACAATCGACCACTTATTGAATAGAAAAAAGATAAGGCTAAAACATGAACTAAAAGTTAAGACATGGAAATCTATATTATTTTGGTTATAAAGCCTTAAACTTGGATTGCGTTTTTTTTATACACTCTGTATACTTGTACAGTATCTTGTACAATAAATAGAAAAAGCCTGCTTAGCAGATTAGCCAGACTATCATGTCCTTAATTTTAACCCATTGCATTGCGAGACAATTTTACTCTTCACGAGGAGAGCACTGACCATTGTTCATTGAGTTAATCAGACCACTGTATCTGCCCATGTCTATATTTAGTCGGTTAAGTTGCATAGTGCTCCAATGTGCTCTTAATAATTTATTCCTATTTTACTCTGTCTAATACCAGACAATTATACTCGTCATTACACCAAATTATATAAACAATGACACTTTTGTGTTTTGTCTCTTGTAGACTCAGGGTTTAAAATAGCATTTTTTACAGCACTAGCCATGAATAAGGCAGGAATCATAACTGTACAGTATGATGAAAATCAATACCCAGGCATAATGTACACAAAAGCGTTGGACAAAACATTCGTTTTAGTAAATATTAGTAATTTCATTTTGTGATGATGATCATGGGTTATTTAATGATACTGCATTATGCTGGGCATTGATTTTAGTCTTACGATTTTTTAAATGACTTTTTGAAGAGACTTTTGAAAAGATTTTTGAAAAGATTTTTGAAAATATATCTAAATTCAAATATTTAGGCCCTGATATACTCAATGTTGTCGTAATATAATTTTTTTCAGGTATTCTTTTGGTATGGTAAAGATTTCCTTCATTCTGTACATGTGAATATTAATCCAATTGAAAGTATATATTTATGTACACTGTAGTTGTTTTATCAGTTTGTAGAATGCATATTGTATTGTATGATAATTACTGTACTGTACAATATTTCTGGCTTTCATTAAGCACTATACAATACGACTAGTTCAGCAGGATCTTTGTGACTTGACACTTTTTGAAGTAAAAAATAACTCGAGTTTATTGTGCATTGCAAATGTTCTGCTTTTCAAACTCCCAACTGGCGGCACCATGCAATCGTTAGAGTGTGCTCCAGATGCTACCTAACAATATCTGTTTGGGTACAACAACCACATACAGCGCTAAAATTAACCATTTTAAATAAAGACAGAATCATTATCAACTTTTACAAAATTTGCTTTGTGTACGAAAGTTATATTATGCATAGATTGCTAATTTGTCCTCCAGATGCATCGTCACCGGCGCTGTGACGTCATGTGCAATGGGTTTATTGGGAATAAGCAACTCGTTCCCAGGGCTTTCGTATGAGGACGAGAGGTTGGGCAGTTGATGGCATTAGTATTTTTGTGGAACTGCAAAGCAGTGCTATACAGGCTGGCATTAACTACAGTACTTTATGTTACCTTGTAGACATTTACTGTAGCTACTGTAAAGGGCCTCTATCTATAGATGAGGCTTACTTATCATATTTCTGTAGCAAACATAGCATGAAGCCGCGCCTTGGCATTATTGTTTTTGACAGAGCGTAATTACGAAATGGGTTATTGTTAATTTATCAGCTTTGACTACCTTGTAAGAAAGGAAAGGGGCGAAACCCTCATACTGTAAGAAAGAGGTGAAACCCTCATATTGCTGTATTTGTATATTCTCTAGGTTGGGAATCACAGTTACTGGAGACAGGGTTTCTTGCAATATTTCTGTGTCCAGTTTTGAAACTCCGTCAGGTTCCTGAACACACACCAACATCATGGGTTGTTGTCTTTGGTTACAGGTGGCTCATATTTAGAATCATGTTTGGAGCTGTAAGTATTGCACTACGCTATACCAACGCACAAGTTTTAACTAACCTGCAGCAGACTATAGTAGCAATACTATTATTATTACTAGCATTGTTCCACTGACAACTTGTCAACAGGATGTTTTTGCATTGCTTCTTCCCAGCTTGTTCACAACTTATCGACGGCTTCGCTCGCTACAAGGTTGTTGAACTCATCAAACTTTTTACAAGTTTTTTCAACAACTTGTTATCGTCAACAACAAAGTTACTACAAGCCTGTTACGAACACTATTATATAATTATTTGACGAGGTTGAGCAAAATATCGTGATTTGCCATTGGCGAGCAGATCAATTATTTGCCGATGGCGAAGACAGAGGCATTTTTTGTATGACCTCACGTTATATGTCTGTTCACATTAAGCTGTTTCGGTTCGCAAAACAGGCTTAAGTTGTGAAAAAATAAAAAAAACAGAAATATAATAAAAATATCTTAAAGTGAAGCAAAATAAAGACCGTTGTTTACACAAAGCCGCCAAGTACTCCGTTTTCATCTCGCTCTGTTTACAGGCTTTAAAATATCACGGTGTGATACAAAATGTCCGATGACTTTGAGTTTGGGTCGGACATACTGTATGTATGATGATGTCCGATGACCTTCCGTTTAGTTGGGATCGCAAATAAGTCTGAATGACACAAATTAATATCTGCACGATATATTAGTTCTGAACGGCGAATGCCGCCCCCTGCTCAATTACATTAAAACAACATTTCCAGTTCACTTTTTTATAGATTTCTCTGATAGGATGCATTTCGATTTATGTTGGACAAAGCTAGTTTAAGCTACAGTTCGGTTGGACACCAATATACTCGGGTCAGACAAACAATAAACCTCAGTTTCACATAGATCGGACAGTATGTCCGGTGGTTTCCTCTGTACGTCGGACAATTTCACGCATGGGTTGGACAATGTCCGTGACCGACCGATATTTTAAGGCCTGAGTTTAGAAACCGTGCTTTTCAAACATTTCACTCCGGCGCAGTTTGAACGCGTCAGCTATTTATCACCTTCCGCGCTGTTTTCAAACCACCCCTGGGTAGTGCGAGTCTTAGAATTTGATAGGTGTGGTAGATCATAGTGCTTTAGCCAAAATTGTCACCTATGTGCCTGCAAATGTAAATTTAAATCATACTTAGGGTTCGATTTTTCGAAAGCCGGTTAACTTAATCGTAGGTTAAGGAAAATTTCAAACAATATTCCCTACAGCCTGTTTAGTAAAATGAAGATAGTTTCCCAGAATTCTTCTGTGGTTCAATAGAAGTTTTATTTTCCAAAGTTGTTGAGAAAAAAAAACAGGAGTGCAGATGTAGCCAAACTAAAACAGTAGGTTCAATTTTAACCCAGGGTTAGCGTTAATCCAGCTTTGAACAACTGGCCCCAGGGTATTACACCAAGTATACAAACGCCGCCATGTGTTCTTCTGCAAAGATACTGCAAGGCTCATCAATTTGCTGAATACAGTTTTGTGGCAAACTATAATCACGTGCAATATGTAATTTAATGTACTAATTTTTCTAGGGAATGATAAAGATCCGGGGTGATCAGTGTTGGCGAGATTTGACGTGCATGAATTACCACTATCAGGTACTGTCATCAATAATTTTTCTCTTTCTTGAATAAGCCGCCTTTCTATTATAAAAAACTGTCATTGAAAACGTGCTCGTATGTAACCGGCTTAATATAATTTACCCTTGATATATTTTTTTACAGAATCAACCAGTTCTACATGTCAACCTTAATATAATTTACCCTGATATTCCCACGATCGTCAGATTAAGAGCATTGATATATTTTCTTTACAGAATCAACCATTTCTACATGTAAACCTTAATATAATTTACCTCGCTAGTCGCTATTCCCACAATCGTCAGATTAAGAGCCTTGATATACTGTATTTTCTTTACAAAATCAACCAGTTCCAAACCTTGATATAATTTACCTCGCCGTTCCCACAATTATCAGATTAAGAGCCTTGACATATTTTCTTTACAGACTCAACCAGTTCCAAACCTTAATACTGTATAATTTACCTCGCTGTTCCCACAATCATGATACATATACCCCACTATTCCCACAATCATCAGATTAATAGCCTTAAATATCTTCTTTACAGACTCAACCCGTTCCAAATCCTATCAGTTATTATTTTCATCAATCGCCAGAAATATTCCACAAATTTGAAACTTTGGGCAATCATTTTATTGAGCTTGTTGTTCCGTGGTTTCTGTTGCTGCCGGCTCCATTTACAATTATATGCGGAGTCCTACAGATTATTTTTCAGGTGAGTCAGGTTGCCTGTTTCAAGGTGTGTGGGGGGGGGGGTGATTCTACTTCGACCCAGGCAGCTATTGTAGGTCCAATCGCTTCGGTATGATGTATTTTGTGATGATATTATTGTTGAGATACTGTATTATGTAATGTTTAGTCAGAGGAACTGAATGAACTGCATGACATTCGAATTCGAATGTCATTGAAATCAACCAATCACATTGTTTTGTACATCACGCTTTGATGGAGAATTAAAATGAATGGAGATTGCATTTCGTACGCGCGCACGATTTAGCATTTCGTTTGCTTCGCCTGCGCTGGCGAAGCGGATATAATGGAAACCGCGGCTTCTATATAGTTGCGGTAACACTCAATTAGTGATTTCTTAAATATTAAAGGGGGGATAAGTCCCTTCTGCGCATGTGCCCGGCGTTTGTTTATGTTTTGATACATTACACATGTTATAACATGAAGTATTGGCATTTTACAACAATATTTTATCAAACATGGCGATTGAAATGAGCGACACTTTATATAGTTCACTTGCTTGTGTGGTGGTGCCTGCTTTTTATAAGAAATATAGAAACTTTTGAATAATTTTCCTTTTGAACCGCATATCGTGATAAACACGCCGAATCATGCATGAAGTATGATCAACCGACGAATATGAATTGCTCAATGCCCGATTGCTCTTTACTCAACAACAAGCTGACAATATTGAGTACACAACAGTAAGTTTAATGGTTTATATGTTGTTTGTTGTTGATAAATTCTAGTCTGCATGTTTTTGCATGGATTAACCATATATGAGAGCTTATCTTTCGTAAATACTGCACAAAATATATACCGCATTTGAATTGTTAGTAGATATATTTTCATCTACGATTTATAAAATTGATATACGAGTTGGACAATATTTTAAACCAACCGCATGTCCTGGTTATATATAGCTAAATTCTTAAAGCATATATAATTATTTTATTTGCAAAGATTGAAATGGTGAACAAAACAAATTTTGACTTTTTTCCCCATTGCTAGCAGCAGCCTTGTCTTTGCCATTTGTCATGCTATTGTAAATTATGCAATTAACCTGAACGTTATACTGTATTGCTTCCATGCATTAGGACACTTTCTCCAACATCATAAAGGCAGATTACTATTGGGACAAGCGGTTAATATCATGAAGCATGAAGATCTCTGAAAAAGGCAAACCTATAGTCTGACTGCATTCTTTAATTTTGAGCCTTTCTATGCATGGCAGGATTTAGTGTAAGATGTAAATGTTCAAGACTATCTGTGGAGAAAACACCGAATGATATAGCTAATGGTGAAATTCAAACGGGTTGCTGACTGTAATGAGTGCCGCTGAGAGGGGGGGGGCATTTTGGGCTTGCGAGTGATGGGACCCCAGATTGATGGGACCTCAGATTAAAGGGACCCCCCCCTCCCAAAGTCCCTTAAATTTTCTTGATACAAGATTGCTTAACCAATAATATAAATCCTAGCTGTGTCAGTGCTGGATAATATGCAATAAAGTGCAATATATTGTAAAACACTGCTTCTCCTGTTTTACGATTATGACATAGAGACCCGTGGGAAAGTTTTGCCCTGTACACGACACAACCTCTCGGTATCCCTGACTGTTACTACCACCAAGTTCAACAATCAGATAGAAATCGTCATAGCTGGGGCTACTGTAGACATTTTGTACCCATACCAACACAAGAAGGAATATTAAGTGTTTTTTTAAATGAAGGTGATATTGCATATTAAGAGGACAATACTGATCTCTATCAAGAACCCCCATCAAGAACACTGTAATTCAAACAAAATGTTTTTGGCACAAATGTTCTGAAACAATAATTGCCAGGCATTATCGAGAAGATGTTCTTGTTTTAAATAACAATATAAACATGCATGCAAAACATCTGACATGCAGCATACAAACAGGATGCTATATGACAATGTCATAGCTACTGTGCCTTACCATAAATCCTCTAGCTATTGATATAGGGGGGGGGGGGTGTAATACATTTCAATTTTAGAAAGGGGGGTGAGGCCGTGGGGACTTACATCTATTTTTTAGAGGGGGGGGAAATAGGGGATTTATGGCAGATGGAATAATAGAAGGGTTGTTGCCTAGTCAACATTTGATTTCACTATTGTATGCTGGATACACTTCTTACTAGAATATCGTGGTATAAAATAATATAATGTACAATGTCAGCTAGTGTTAATAATTTAATTAATAGCAGTTCTGAGTTGTCAGATCTCAAGACATATATTCCAAGACAAATTCCTATATATCACCAGACAAATCTTGTGATATTGAAGCTCATTTTCAACTCCAGAATACTAAAAGATACTATACCATGCATTGCTTTTAATAAAAAAATAATATAGTAACTATAAAGATTATACAGTTGTCATCTTTATTACTTCCTTAGGTGTAACTTCTTGTACTGTGGGTGTATATCACAAAATCGTAAGAGTTCCAAGGCAACTCAACTGTCATGATAATGACTATATATACCTCATGCTACTATGTTTCAGCCTACAGTATGAAAGTTTTCCAATACTAAAATAAAACTTTGCATGCATATACAAAAATTTATCTAGCTTGAAAGTTCGATAATTTTTTACAACAATCATGCTATGTGAACTGACATACAATGTTATAAAGATTTATATTCAGATATCTGGTTATAGATTACAAACAATTATTGTATATAGTAAAGTAAATGGAGAAATAAATATAAAGTTGCGAAGCCGTCTTGAATAATAGCGCATCAATAAAAATATTAACAGTAAATTGTAGTTATGGTTTCAAATCTCTTGACTTTCTTTGCCGCGGACGAATATTCGATCAGATCTGATAAATAAATATTAAATACATAGTCAGCATATAAATCCAATGCAATAGAATCC